GCCTATAAGGATGCTGCAGGTTTTTCCTCCCAGGGTGGAGAACCTTGCATTTTTCAGTGTTAAACACCATCAGGTTCCCGTCCGCCCATTTGCTGAGCCTGTCCAGGTCAGCCTGGATCGCCCTCCTCTCTTCAGGTGTGGATGCTTTGCCCTAAAGTTTGGTGTTATTGGCAAAATTGGCCAGTCTGCTTCTGACTCCAATGTCCACATCATTAATGAAGATGTTGAACAATATGGGTCTAAGGGCAGAGCCTTGGGGGACCCCACTGTTCACAGGGCACTATGACGTTTGACTTCCATCAATTACCACCCACTGGGTTTGACCACAGAGTCAATTCCCCAGCCTGGAGATCATGGTGGACCCAAGGCCACATTTGGCCAGTTTCGCCAAGAGGTGATCATGGGATAACAGATCGAAGGCTTTTTTGAAATCAAGATATATGACATCAATCTCTGCTCCCTTGTCCAGGTGATAGGTCACCTGGTCATAGAAGGAAATGAGATTGGTCAAGCAGGACCTACTCGCGACAAACCTGTGCTGGCTTGGTGTCGGCCAGTCCATTAAGGATGGCTTCTTTAATAAACTTTTCTAAGACCTTCCCCAGGATAGAAGTCAGGCTGATGGGCCTATAGTTAGCTGGATCCACTTTCCTTCCTTTCTTGAAGATAGGCACCACATTGGCCTTCTTCCAGTCTTTGGGCACTACACCAGAGCACCAGGAGTTCTCAAAGATCCGTGCCAGAGGCTGGACTATGATGCTTGCCAGCTGCTTGAGTATCCTGGGGTGTATATTGTCAGGGCCAGCTGACTTGAAGGTATCCAGCCTCTTAAGGTGTTCCTTCACGTGGTCAGCATTGATGGAGGGTAGGGGATCTCCCTCACCCGGACCTCCCTGTCCTGTAGTGGGCATGGGCATCCCATGGGACTGATGAAAGACCGATGCAAAGTACCCATTTAATATGTTGGCTTTTTCCTGGGCGTCAGTTGTCCTGTCTGGTTTAGCAGGGGTCCAGTGTTGCCCTTACTTTTCCTCTGGCTCCCCATATATCTGAAAAAGGACTTTTTATTGTCCTTGATACTCAAAGCTAGTTGGAGTTCAGTTGCAGCCTTGACTTTCCTGGATTGCTCCTTGCAGGACTGAACCCCAGTGCAGAATATTCCTCCTTGAAGGTGAATCCTATCCTCCATCTTTTGTATGCCTTTCTTTTTAGCCTTAAGAGGTCTGCTAGATCCCTGGAGAGCCAGGGGGGCTGCTGTGTCCTCTTGCTGCCTTTCCCCCTGAGATGGAACAGAATTAGTTTGTGCATTGAGGATCAGTCCCTTGAGGAGCAACCACTCTTCCTCAACTCCCCTCCCCCTGGGGTCGTGGTCCCTTAGGGCCTCACTGACAAGTCTCCTGATCTTGTCAAAGTCGGCTTTTCTGAAGTCAAGGACTTCCATGTTGCTGACTGACTTGCCAGCTTTATGGCAGATGGTGAAGGTGATCAGCTTGTGGTCGCTGTCACCCAGCTTCCCATCGATCACTACGTCGCTGATTAGATCATCCCCAGTACCAGGTTGAGCAGCGCTTTACCTCTTGTTGGCCCATAGACTTTTTGAGTCAGGTAGAGGTCGTCCACGCCCGATAGGAAGCTTTGCGACAGCTTGTTGCTGAGTGATCCTCCCATGAAATGCCTGGGTAGTTGAAGTCACCCATGACAACCATGGTCCGGGAACATGCAGCCTCAGCCAGTTCCCATGTGAACTCCTGGTCAAGCTCTTGACTTTGGGTGGGAGGTCTGTAGTAGACTCCCACTGTTGTGTCCCCTGTGCTATGTTCCCCACGGATTTTAACCCAGAGGGTCTCTAGCTGTCCACCCTGGTCGCCAACATCAGCTTGCAGGGACGCATAGCTTTCCTTAACATAGAGAGCTACACCCCCGGCCTTTTTACGTACTCTGTCTCTCTTGTACAGGGTATAGCCATCTATACCCATGGTCCAGTCATGGGTGGAGTCCCACCAGGTCTCCGTTATCTCTATGACATTGTAATTATTTGTGTTAAGCAGGAGGACGAGTTCCTTTATCCGGCGCCCTACACTGCAACTGCTCACAGCCTGCGTGAGGCTGCCCATGCCTTCTCGGGACAACCCTGTGTGGGCTGCGAGTGGCTGCAGCAGGGAGCACGGGGCAGGGGAGGGGCTGCTTTTCCCTGTGCTCAGCACTAGTTTCTTCCGTGCGGTGAGCAGGGGGTCGAGGCTGCACGCTGCCCCCCGCCTGTACTATGGGGCTGGGGGGGCACTGGGAGTGAGTGGAAGCACAGGGCTCTCACTGGTGTCCCAGGACCAGTGCCAGCAGGGCCCAGAGCAGGGCAGCAGGGATACAGGGTCCCGGCCAGCAGGGGCTCTATGGAGCCAGGTCAGCTCCCCCTCTCCCTGCTGGTGCAGCCCAGCCTGGCTCCACAGACCCTTGCCAGCATTTGTCCTGCTTTGAGCCCAACCGATTCTGGCTCTGGGACACTGGTCCCAAGACATTGGGATATTGGTCCCAAGATGGGGACCAGAGGGTGGGACACCTGTCAAGGGGCAGGGCTATCCATGTGGCCCTCAACAGCTTGCCAAAACTGAGTAAGCGGCCCTCTGCCCAAAATAATTGCCTGCCCCTGTCCCAGGGTCACAGCATGCTAACACACGTTCCTTTGTTTGTCTATCACTTTTGTAACTTTTTCATCCCAAATTGTCCAATCCTCTGACTCTGTGCTAAGTATTTCTTATATGGTGCACCAATCCCCTGGCACTATGCCAGCCACATTCCTTATGGTTTAGGAAGAAATATAAACATTTAGTCTTCATTCTTAAGCCAACCTCAAACAAGAAACACAGTAAAGTTGGCTAAGCAAACAATGTTTCCTTATGGGGAAACTTGTGCCTTGCTCACCTAGTGCCCAATCACAGCACTTGCATCTTCCAGTGCCACAGAAGGCGCTTTGTTCAATTTTGTTGCTTAGCTCTGGGAAGACTTGGACTATGGCTAAAAAGCCTTAGCATAACTCAGTTTGCTTGCTACAACCTGACTGGATGCCCAGCACGCATTCCCATGACCACCGTCGCTTCCCAGAGTGACACAGCAGGGACAGGAGAACCTGCTGGATGCGGCGGGAGCCGAGTAGTACCCAGGCAAATACAGCCCTGACAGGAAGCTATGCATGCAGCCTGGGGTCGGGGCTGTTGGCTGGTGCAGGCAGGAGCATGGAGTGGGTTGCCCTGGGCAGGGCTTAGCCCCATGTGGAGTACTGTGGGGGCCAGATACAATTGGTGGGTGCCTGCCTGCCAGCTGGATCCAATCACTTGGCAGATTTGATCCGGTCCACGGACCATATTTTGCCCACCCCGATATAGGATCAGAAAAAGAGACATTTCTTGTGCAGCTGCGCAATCATGGGATTAGAGGGAGAAAAGCAGGAGATCAAAATGATTCCTGATTTACCACATGAAACTCTATTGGGACTAGACTACTCCTACTGAGTGCATGAAAGAGCACTTGATGATCTTGTGGAGCAACCTAAGCAGGTGCCTTTTTTTGCATCTTTCTTTCTGAGGAAGAGTGTTTGGTTCCTCAGAGTTTATTTTAACATTATTTCTCAACTATAAAGTTGATCCAATAAAAGATTTTGCCAAACAAAACTTGCTTTTTATATATTCACTAGCATCATCACAACTACAATACTAAATACAATACAATTTTTATACCAATTTTTGGTATAAAAAGATCATAACATAAGAGCAAATTTGCACATACAGAACCCTCATAAAGCGAGGGAAACCTGTAACTTGTGTTCCCAAAGGTAGTGTTACTATTTTTTATGAGGGTTTTTTCAATTTCTGATGTGGCTCCTTGATTTTTGTTCCTGGAAATATTGCTGAGTCTTCATCTGCTATGATAGCTGCTGGTGAAACTTAGCATTCTGGGAGGTGTTGGAGAGAGGAGCCTTTCCACTGGAGAGTGAAAAAAATACAAGACCTTTCTATGGGATGTTACAGAAAACGAAAGATATGAAAGATGGCAGTGACTTTAGGATCTCTATACTTGTGCCAAATAAAAGTATTTAAGTGTCAGCAGGTATTCTTCACATAAATAGAGATAATCTAGTACAGATGATTCAGAGTCCACATGGTGCAATAACATGATTCAAAACGGAGTAAACTATTTTGATTTAAGTGGCAAGGTAAACTGAGTTAATGTATATATAACTCATCAAGGGGAGCAGTGTACCTTCGTTAGCTATTAGTTCCATTTTTTATTAACAGATTTAATTTACTGCCTGAAATACTTTTAACTCCTTTTGTGTGCTTTGCTATTGGTACTGAGCCCTGTAATTATATTTAAAAAAAATTAGCTAGTGTACATAAAATCATATCTTGACTTCTGACTTTGAATATCTCCAAAGTGAAATTTCATAAGTAACATGAACATCATTCAACACAAGTTCAGGAAGATTAATGTCAGTGGTGGGAGAGAGAGATTTGGGCTCTGCAGTACACTTGTCATAATGAATTGTCTCAGCTAATATGGAGAAGTGATGAAATTTAAGATTTTTACACTTTGATTCTTTTCCTCTATCTAATTTATTAATGAATAAACATTGTTAAATTGTAAAGAGGCCATCTCATTTGGTCACAGTACAATATAGATGGATGTACTTTTCCTGATAGATATAAATATGAGGCTTCTGATGTATTAATTAGTTTACTTGAGTTAATTTAATATTCCAAATTACCTTAATTTTAATTTGTCTTCCCTTCAGGAAAAAATGGATTCCCAGTATGCTCATGGATTGCAGGAGCTGGAATTTATTCGGGGACATAGTGATACAGAAGCAGCAAAATTGTGTGTAGACCAGTGGTTAAAAATGCCAGGTAACTAATTAAAAGGGAGAGAATTTTAAATATGAAATGGTGAACAATGGCTGTTGAAGAGTGACTACTCAGACCCATTGATGAAATAATTTTAAATTTAGAAATTAATGTTGTGTCTGTCACTTTATTCAGTCAACATTTGGAATAAATTATTCAGTATTTGCCTTAAATGTCAGTAGTAAACAAATACATGTCACTTAAAGTACTAACGCAGTTCAGTGTAAAATTGTACTCTGAGTGGTAGCTTTTCTAATGTACTAATACATATTGGCTAAGTGCATAATTTGCTTGCTGCAGGGGTTTGGGTTGTAGCCGTGTTGGTCTAAGGACATAGGCATAGGCAGACAAGGTTCCTTGGTGAATTTGATATCTTTTATTAGACCAACCCAAATGGTTGGAGAATAGTTATTAAGCAAGCTTTCGGGTTCAAAAACCCTTCGTCAGGCTAAGGAAGCTTCAGCAGTTGGTGCGTGCTCTTCGTGGGTGGAATGAAAAGTAAAAAAGCCAGAGGCTGGGCTGGGCTGGGCTGGGCTGGGGAGTCAGTTGCCAGACAGATTATAATGTATCAAAAATCCAATGTCTATGTTTAGTCCATGATCTCTAGTATCCAGCAGGTTGATGAAATGGAGCTCATAGGCTCGTCTCTGGGAAGTGTTGTGTAAGTTTCACTTGAGGATCAGGACTGAGAGATTGGAGAGAGAGTGGCCCTCCTGTGAGAAATGTGCCCCCACTGGTAATTGAGTGTTTTGGGTAGTGGAGTCCCCCAGGGCTCGGTCCTGGGGCCTGCGCTGTTCAATTTCTTCATCAGCGATCTTGATGTTGGGGTGGAAAGCAACCTGTTTAAATTCGCTGATGACACCAAAATTTGGGGGGAGGTGAGCACGCTAGCAGGGAGAGAGAGATTGCAGAAGGATCTGGATAGGTTACAGGGGTGGGCAAACAGGAACAGGATGTGTTTCAATACGGACAAGTGCAGGGTGCTGCACTTGGGTAGTAGGAACCAGCAGCACACTTATACGATGGGGAGCTCCCTACTTGAGAGCACGGAGGTGGAAAGGGATCTTGGTGTCATTATTGACTCCAAGATGAACATGGGCCGGCAATGCGAGGTCATGGTTGGCAGGGCTAACCGGACCTTGTCGTGCATCCACAGGTGCATCTCGAGTAGAGCCAGGGAGGTGATCCTCCCCCTCTATGCGACGCTGGTCAGGCCGCAGCTGGAGTATTGTGTCCAGTTCTGTGCGCCCCATTTCAGGAGGGATGTGGACAACATGGAGAGGGTCCAGAGGAGGGCCACCCGCATGATCCGGGGACAACAGGGCAGACCCTACAGTGAGAGACTGCGGGACCTGAACCTATTCAGCCTCCACAAGAGAAGGCTGAGGGGGGACCTGGTGACCGTCTATATACTCACTAGGGGGAACCAGAAGGGTTTGGGGGAGACGCTGTTTCCCCTACCCCCCGCTGGCATAACAAGGAGTAATGGGCACAAGTTGATGGAGAGGAGGTACAGATTGGACATCCGAAAAAACTACTTCACAGTTAGGGCGGCTAGGAGCTGGAACCAACTTCCAAGGGAGGTGGTGCTGGCCCCTACCCTGGGGATCTTTAAGAAGAGGCTGGATACTTACCTGGCTGGACTCATTTGAGTCCCGTTTTTGTTTTTAGGGTGAGTGGTTTTGTTTGTGTTTTTTGGGTTGTTCTCCCGCCCTGGCGGGGGGTCGGGCTAGAAGATCTATTAGGTCCCTTCCGACCCTGAAACTATGAAACTATAATGAATTTCCTATACTGCTCTAACATGGCCAACATATGGGGTATAGGGCTAAAACTCAGCTTCTCCCTAGCAGCAGTTGGTGTGTGCTCTTCCTGGATGGAATGGTTTTTACTTTTCATTCCATCCAGGAAGAGCACACACCAACTGCTGTAGCTTCCTTAGCCTGACGAAGGGTTTTTGAACCCGAAAGCTTGCTTAATAACTATTCTCCAACCATTTGGGTTGGTCTAATAAAAGATATCAAATTCACCCAAGGAACCTTGTCTGCCTAGCTTGCTTGCTTGCATAATACTTTGCTGGTCCCAATTTTTGCCAGTTGCTTACTGTGGCAAAGTGGGGTTCTCCCTTCATGCACAACCCTTTGTGGCCTCAGCAGGGCCTAGCACACCTGCAGTTTTGATCTCACTGTGGCTTAACATACACGTGACATGAGTTTTGCTTTCAAGATTTTGGGATGCAGTTTCTCTGTGCCCCCTGCACCTATCTTCTTGAAACTTAGCACGCTTCATGCCCCCAGAAGGAGCTACCATTCCTGCAAGTTTCATCCAAGTGTGGCCAGAAATGACAAAGTTATAGCCTGTTTTGACCTTCTCCATTATAGCCAGTGAGCAAAACATCGAAACAGGGTCAAAATGGCAAAATGTTTCGAGGGAACGGAACAGCCGTTTTGACTCAAAACACAAGCTGAAACAGAACACTGTTCCGTCAAAATGTCAAAACACTGGTCAAAACGGAATGCTTCTGTTTTGCACAGCCCTAATAATTATGTTGTTAGTTAGGCGGGAGGCTGCCTGTTCTTGCCCCGATGCCAGGGGGCGCTATCTGCAGCTCCGTTCCTCCCCTACACCGCAGCCCAAGCCTTGCAGATAGCATCCAGATGACAATGATAGCATCCAGATATGCTATTAATGATACTAATGATTAATTATCATTAATTAATAAGATGATAGCATCCAGATGACAATGCTTCCGGCTCCCAAGCTTAGCCCTCGTTGTCAGGCCTCAGACGCACACACATTCATACCGCCCTCCTCACTAGGGCCTCTCACACTCCACCCCCTCTCACAGGGTCTCTTTCACGCCTCAACAACTTGTACTGCCTTGCTCCCTCTTGGAGCGGGCCCCTTAGGCCATAGGCTGTAGCTAGCCCATACCTTGGGTGGCAGACATACCGTCTTTTTGGCATCTCCTGTGACCCTCACTGGGGTAGTGGCCAGCCAGTTACCCAACTGGGTCTAAAGCTTGCCCTGGCCCCTTCCAGGACAACTCTATACCCTCACCCATGCAGAGACTGGACTCCCAGCCCTCTGGGTTCCCCCCCCTTTCACTGGGGCTCTGCTTCTCTGCCCCCTCACTGGGGCTCCTCCTCTCCTTGGGTCTTGCACCCCACATGTGCCTGGCCTCCACTCTCCTTGGTGTCTTGCACCTGGCATTTCCTGAGGGCTCCCGCACCACTGAGAGCCCCACCAAGCCACCCACTCCCAGCAGGGTGTAGTTTTAGGTCATGCCTAGGACCGGAAGCCTCCAAATCATCCCCTACCACTCCTGCCCTTACCTCCTGGGAGTTGCATTCAGCCTTGCAGCCAGGCAGTGTTACTGCCTGGCCTGTCAAAGGAACTGCTCTGATTATATAGGTGGCCACAGATCTAAAATGGCTGCTGCACTCAAGCACCTGCTGGCTGCTTGGCTCAGCTCTTGAAGTGGCAGGCACCAACAGTGCCTGCCACGCTTACATTATAACAAACTGTATAATTGCATATCGTTTAAGTATGTAAACAGCTTACATGTATAGGAACCCTTTGGTCACACTGTTTTACTTTCAAATGGAGGATGGTTACATTACAATTATATAAATTGTGAAACTTTGGTTTCAAGTCTGCTATTTGAGGTATGAGGTGCTCTAAGAAACAGGTAAGAATCTTATGAGGTGGGAAAAACTAACCGTGCACTTTATTAACAACTTTGAAGTGTGCAGTCTAGTAAAAACAGGGTTTCTTGTTTGGGGTTTTTTTTTCCTCCTATCCTGGAGTGAAGTACTTGGAATACTGCTATGCAATACATGTTTTATTAGACATGCCCATTAACCCTGCATGCACTAGCTACTGACCAGAGGCAGTGCTGCATGTCTACCAATAAGCTCCGTTTTTCAAGTTGGTGTAGCTTTGCAGGCAAGTCAGTAATATATTTATATCACCGGTCCAGAAGCTAGTATGGTGTGTCTCAGCGCAATGCTTCCCTGTGTGATAGAGGTATACAATCAATTGTTGCTTTAAAATTCTTCTTCACATGTTTTTCTTACTATTCAACATTAATGTTCCATATGCTGGGTATAGGAAATACTTGGGTAACGTTAGCTACTTGCAAAGACATCAAGTAGAAATCTACTTTGTACAACTTATTGATTGGGGAAAAAATCCTTTTTCTTTATGTAAGCCTCATAAATAAGGAATCAAAGTGGATTTTAAATATCCCTATCCATTTGTATAGTGTGTGTGTATATATATTGAGTAGGTGTTGGAATTGGCATACATAAATCATTTTATCATAAACAGTTGAAAATTTATGAAATAGCCATCTTTTTCCTAGGGTAAAATAAAACCTTTATGGTTCATCAGAGCCCTCTTTTTGTGTAATATAACAGCTTTGTTTTGCCATGTCAGTATAATCTGATGATAAATGTTCAGTTGCTTCATTTTAAAGAAAAGAAAAGCTTCAAATATTATCAGGACTGTGTACCTGAAAGTTTTTGTCTTACAATACAGGTCTCAAGCCAGGTATGGTTAATTATGGAAGAGGTGGATTCCAGAGGGCAGGTGGATTCCAGAGGGCAGGCCAGGCACCAGTGAAGAGCAGTCCTATTTTATGTCCTGTAATGCATTGCAACAGAAAATTTGATAATGGGCATCTTCTGTTAGGTCACCTGAAGAGGTAAGAGTATATCATAGGTCAAAAGAGAACATCACTGAACATCTGTGATTGTGGGACGTTGCCTCAGATCTATATCGTACTGCCCTGTAATTTCAGTATTCCTTTTGGAAGAGGCTGCCAGTGTGCAATTAATTTTTATACAGGCAGAACATCGGGAACTTTTCAGTGTTTCTGCTGTTGCCTTAAAACTTGCATTTTTAAAAACTGATGCTTTCCCCCCTAGTTAATCCTATGTATTTTTCCCTTGCTTAGTAGGCATTAAAATGAGCAAATTTCAGTCGTCATTGCTCTTATGACACAAAAACTGGGATTTGAATGATACTAGCCAATACTCAGTGAAACTGCCTAACAATCTTGTTTTTGTTTGCTTGAATCGACAATTAATTAGGTGTGTTCTTGCCCTAATGCTTCAAATTACTTTACTTTCTTCCAAGGAAACCTATTCTTTTGCTTAGTGGAATCATTTTTGTTGTTTTCCTTTTTTTATAGATTTGATCATTCTCCTTGTGACCCAACAATTACACTCCATGGAGCTCCAGCTAGTGCCGTTGCCTGTGTGATATGCTTTAAAAGATTTGTTACTTCACAGGAGTACTGCGAACATCTTGTATCTAAGGTAAGAATATCTTATGGGTATTCATGTGACTGAATATTGCTATGTCAAAGCAACTGGAGTCACTGGGCAACCAAGGGTCAAGAGTTAAAGGCCTAAAGGGGCACAAGCCTGAAGAAGCTTAAAATGATCTTCTGTAGCCCAGTGGATAGGACTATCTTGTAGGTTCTTGTCCCTACTTCCCATCACTTGAAACGTGTAGACAGTCACTAGTTTTAAAAACAGACATAAACCTGGAAGTCGAAACTAGAACTTGCTAGAAAGCAGAGGCAGATTGGGCAGGGAGCAGGAAGCAGAGCAGTTGATGAGGCAAGGGAAGGGGTTTGGAGCAGCGCTCAGAGGGTGCAATGCTAATTTCAGGGCATGTCTGTCAAAAAGATTGGCCCCCACTTTCCTAGGCACAGCTCTAGCCACTAAGATACTGGGCAGCCAGTGGGAAGTGGCATCACCCCTGCCAGTAACTCTGAGCTGAATTAAATGGTCAGTGGAAATTGAATGTGTTTTTTTTTTTTTTGATCTGCTCAAGAGTAGCCCTTTCTGGGGACTTTAACCGAGTTTGGCCACTTCCCAGGGTCAATTAGAATCTGTGGAGCATGCTGGAGTTAACTAGAGAAGTGTCTCACTCTGAGTCCCTTCTGCACAGATGCATATGCCCAGGTCTGACTGCCTAGGGACCCTGGGAGGCCAAAATGGAGATGTGGGCTGGGTACCTACATAATGATTTTTTAGGGCAGGAAATTTGAATTGCTAAAACTTGATTTTCCACCTACATCTTACTTAAGCACCTGCTGAGTCCATTTGAGCCTAGTCACTTGCGAGTAAGGCTATAGAATTCTTAACTATCAGGACCAAGTTTTTGTCTTTTTGTACCTGGTATTAATTTCATGGTGATAGGTGCATCTAAGTGAGTTTGACCATTTTACTTGGCTCCCAGTGATTTCATTAGGGACTTGTGTTTTATGGTAAAATGTGGCCTTTAAAAGAAGAAAAAAATCTAATTTTAAATGTAAAGTTCTTCAAACTGTTATCTTTGACATAACTTTTTGCAGGTCCCCTGTTTAGGTCTTTGTCTAGTCCAGCATTTCCCAACCAGTGTGCTGTGGCATTTTGGACGGGAGCCACACCCCCTGCCTGCTGCTGCTGCGGACACAGACAGATGGGGAGCGTGGCTCCAGCCAGGCGGGGTGTGACTAGCCCAAAATGCTGCCCAGCTGGCCACGCGCTACCTGCTCCTGCTGTCCTGCTCCGTGTCTGGTGTGCTGCAGTGCATTTTTATTTAAGTGTGTCTGCTGTGGGGCGAAAAAGGTTGGAAAATGCTTGTCTAGTTGATGCCTCTATCCGCTGAAAACCCATGTCTCTTCTGTGCTGAGTCCGAGTTCAGATTACCTTCAGTTATGTTTATTCAGAGACAATGTGTTAACCCTGTCTTAGATTTTTGTCGTGGCTGACAACTTGTGGCATGTGATCATGCATAGAAAGTTAATTCATTTCTGAGCAAGAGGGTCAACAATATTTTGCAGGTTTTCCTTGTCACCTGACTTGGTTTCGCTTCAGATTTGCCAGCATTGTAATTTAAGATTATACATGTACATAATCTTTAGGAAGGAAGTACATAAGCAGAACTGATAGAGAGGCATACAGATAGGGTTTCTTAATCCATTTCATTGTTTGGTCCAGTTTTCAGTTGCTTATAAATTCCCACTCTTGGGGATGAAATTTCTCTATGGTAGATGCTGGCTTCCAGCAAAATGTGTGGGTTTTTAAAATTTTTTTAACATTTCTATTAAAGTATTTAAAAAAAAAAAACTTCTTAACAAAGAGTATGGGGAGGGATGTATATTCTCTTGCACCTCTCTCTCGTTTTTTTTTTTAAAAAGGTCATTTTTGTGTAGGGGGTTCTAGCAACTGCAACCTTTTGTGTCTCTTCTACATTTGTATTGTGAACACCTTAAATTACATAATCTCCCCCAGCTGTTTCAGTGCATGGGAAGGAACTGGTTTTGGGGAATAAGCTGGGGGTGTGCAGTGAAAAATGATGTTGTCTGTTTGTTCCAGTAGGGATAAGGCAGAGGATTTCAGGAAGTGAAAGAATGGGTATATAGTTTAAACAAAAGTTTATCATCTTGGAGTGTTTGTTTTCTCTCTCTACCTCTCTTCTGAATTCTTGTGTAATGCTCAGTCAGACTTTCAAGCCAGACTTTTAAAAAGTGGTGTTGAATTGCATCTTACATATTTTCTGTGTGATCATCTCAATCCACTGGTCTGTTTTGCAGAAGTATGAGCCATTGTAGCTGTATCTCAATTGGGTTGGAGCTATCTTTTTACATGGTTTAAAACAAAAAAAGAAAAGCTTTGCATAATGTGAAGTAATCTTAAAGTCTCGTGAAAATCTCACATGGATATGTACAACTGATTGAGATTCTTGACAATGTTGGCTTTAATCTATACACCAATGAAATGAAAATAGTAATAACTTCCTACCTCACATTTAATACTTGAGAAAATCAGGTATTATGGTTGATAAGTGCCAAACTTGTTAGATTATGAGGAAACAAATAATGAGGCCTTTAGAGAGAGTTTCAAGGAACATTCAGTAAATAAGGCCTGGAGCAGTTCACTGAGCACAGAATTACCATCTATCCTGCTTACTGAATGTAGTAGAGGTTCCCAAGGAAAGATATTATGTAATTAAGGATGCTGTAGTAATACATATACACAGAGACACGGAACTGAGAGTGCATGGATAATCTTTTTTTTTGTATTGCTTACACCTATTAACAATTTTAATGTAATTTTATATAGTAAAATTACATAAAACCAAGGAAGATGTTTATATGTCCTTTACGAAAGAGAATTTTATTAGAAACTTGTACTGAACTGTAGCATAGAGAAATATTACAGCATTTTAAGTGGTCTATTAAAACTACTTAATATTTTAAATACCTGTTTGTAAAACCTTTTCTTTTAATATCATTGGATTTTATTTTACTCGTTATGTTGTTTATCTTTCAGATAAATGAAAATGATGGGCATAAAAGAGATCTCCCTCCACAGCTTATTCAGTGCTTTGCATGTCCTCACTGCTTCCTCCTTTTCAGCAAAAGAGATGAATGTTTGAAGCATATGTCTGGGAAGAATCACTTCCTCCAGGTTTTTAAATTGAGTGGTATGTTGTAACTAGAATGTGACTTACTTCGTGTCCTTCTGATGTTGTATCTGAGCAGTTTGAGGCAATGTATTTTCAACAGTAAATGAAGGAAAACTATTACCTTTGTGCCTTTCTAAGATGAATCTTAATTTGGAAAGAAATGCACAAAATATGAAGGCTGTATGACTTGCATTGTCCTCTTCCAAGATTTGATGTTTTGCTAATATAAAGAGAGATGCTTTAGGATTCCATATCTGTTTGTGCATTAGTGGTTCTCATTACATTTTCCAAATTGGAAGTAGATTTATACTCCTCATTGCTGTAACAGAACATCTTCATTCTGTCTTGGGCCTTGTATGGAATTTGACCCACCACCCTAAATCATCATGGTTGGTTGCAGACCATGGGGAGGGGGCCCACTAATGGGCGAATTGCTTGGGCTAGACTGCCACACCTTCAATTTAAAGCACCGTACAAAATGGCCATAAAATACCCTATGTTAGGGGTTGGCAACATACAGTTCACAGGCTGGATCCAGCCCACAGAGCCCAAAGGCTTTGTGCGTGCTCATGCCTATGCCAGGGCTAAGCAGTAAGGAGCTGTGCTGGGTCTGGGCAAATTCCAGCTGTGCTCTTACTGCCGCTGCTCCTTCCCCTTACTCCCAAAACTCCTATCAGCTGTGGCTTGGGTACAGCTTTCAACTGGTTGGGAGTTGTGCCATGACCAGGCAGCTGGAATTTTCAGCCAAGCTGTTGATGCTGCCACCCCTCCTGTTTCCCCCCCCCCCTCCCCTTTTCTTTTTTCTCACCCCAGAAGTTGCAGCAGCATGAATACAGCTTCTACATGCCTGGCCCTGGTGCACTTTCTCACCAGCTGGAAGCTGTGCGTATGCCCCAGCTGGGGAGCAGGGTTCTGGGAGAAGCCACAGCTGCATAAGCAAAGCTCTGAGCTGTCTGGTTCCATGTGGGCACAGGGAAAGCCCTTGCTGCTGATGTTCTGTGCCAGACCAGAGCTGGGTTATTACCTGCAACTTTAAAAGTTTTCCAGCTGCTGTTTCCAATTTAAAACGTTATAAAATGGCATACATGTGTTAGCACCCTTGCCCTTGATACTGTGATTAACATATTAGTTGTGTCATAAATGTAATGTGTAGAGAGGCCCTTACTCCCACATCACCAATAATAAAGCCTAGTGGCTAAATTAAGCCCTCACTGCCCCCTGTACAATTCAACTGATTGCACAGTTGTACAGATGGGAACTTGTAAAATAGTTGTGGCGATGACTGTTATTTGAAGCTCACTCAGTGTTAGCTGTTAATCAACTTCTGAGTTTTGGTATAATAATAATAAGTATAGTATATAATAAAACTTAGCAAATGGATGAGACTGCAAAAATATATTATGGAATTGATTTCTTGAATGAGAAAGGTGCAGTATATTCCTTATGACCATAAAGTGTAGTTCTAGCCTAAAAACTAACCATGCAAATATGGCATTATCACAGTTAACTCTGATAGTACTTTCTTACAATATAGCAGGGGATGTTGTCTTGTATAATAATGGTCACAAAGCTTATTTCGGAAACTACTTCCTTTTTTTTTCCATTAAAAACTCTTAGTTTATTTTTAGTCTTACAGTACAGATAATCTATTAGACATAGTTCTGCTCCTAGAATCAGCCTAAGAAACATAGTATGAAGGGTTGAAGAAATGGAGATACTCCAAAGATACTATAACAAGCTTGTTTATAGTTTTATGTATTTTCTTACACATTGATGTGTTTTCCCTAAAAATATGGAAATATTATAAAAGCAAAGAAGTTAGGGGAGCAGGCTTTAATGACAGAGGAAAGAAGCATAATTTGCTAAAGTCAAAGAGGGGATCAGTAATGGAATTCAGAAGAGGAGACTGGAACATGCTCCTACCAATTAGCAAGGAAGATGAATAGTATTTGTTCATAGAATTAAAGCATCTCATGTTAAGGTTTTGAATGTGGCTTCATTTTATACCATGTCATATTACAGATGAAGCAGTAACTGCTCTTCCTTTGCCTTTCCCAACCTACGCAAAGAAGCTTCTGGTATCCTTATGCAAAGAGGTCCCATTCCAGGTTAAGTGCACATCCTGCCGCCAGACATTACGGTCACATATGGAGCTAACAGCACACTTCAGGTTTGCAAGAGTTTACCTGTAGGAAATGAATGTGCCTATGTAGCTACTTGTTATTCTCATGTTTTTAAATATCAGATAACTCCGTAGTTTGGTGTCAAATGTGTTGCAAATTCCACTTTTACCCTAGGTGTTTCAGCTGGTGATGTGTTAGTATTGGCTCAAGTATAATCCTTTGGGGAGTAATACAGACCTGTTTAAAATACCATAAACATTTGGGATTGCTTATTATAGGTTACTGTTGTGTATTAAAACCATGTGCCATAATTTTATACAGTAGTTCTAAAGAGCAAAATTTTTCCCATCCAAAGAGTTGACTTAGTTGGGGAAAGTGGGGAGGAAGTGTTCCTGAAAGAAGTATTTTAAGAAAAGAATTGGAGGAGACTGAACAGATTGTGGGCAAACAGGAAATGGAAGACTTAAAGCATAGAACATAAAGAGCTAGAGGCCTGAAAGGCGTGAGCAAGGGAACAGTAATGAGAGAAGACTTGAAAGGGCAAAGAGCTTATGAAGAGAAGGATAGCAGAGATGTAGATGAGAGCAAGATCATAGAAGGGAGGGCATATTGTTTATATGTAAAGTGCAAGGCCAGAAGCTAATGAAAGCATTTCATTTGCAGAAAAGGGGGAATGTAATATGTCTAGGACTAATAAAAAGGGGAAAAACTCATTAGGGGCTTTTTTGGGTACAAAATGAGAGAGTTCAGCAAAGGCAGGTTTGGAAAGGTAAAAAGCACAGTGACTAAACTACAAGCTGAATAAGGCAAAGACAACCCTCATCCTCTAAATCACATGGGGATAGTAGATGTCAGTGTCTCAGAGATGTATTGGAATCCTTCAGTAGTAGCAAGGTTGTTGGTTGTAGCTGTGTTGGTCTAAGGACATACGCAGGCAAGGTTCTTTGGGTAGTTTTCACATCTACCCAAAGAACCTTGCCTCAGTAGTAGCAATAATTTTTCCTCTATCCATCTTTCCCCTTAAATTTTATATATGTTAGCTGTTGGTTTGCGCGTTGCCTACAGATCCATTACAAATAAGATTGTGCATATCATGTTAAGACTTGCTTTTCTAGTAGTGCCTAGTATTGTAACCTTGCTTGAACTTTACACACCACTGGATCAGTTGAAGGTCCTTATCAATCTACTGCTTCCCTTCTTGGTTTAAGAGGTAGGAGGAAAATGTTTGGATCATTTGGGTAAGATATATTGATAGATAAACTGATCCCAAAATTAGGCTATTTTAGGCCTTGTGGGAGCTGTGTAGAGCTTGTCCTACAAAAATATGAAAGGATGAGTAAGTGGGGCAGTCCTTCCACTTTTACCCCAGGAGTGAAACACTAGAGAGCTTTGATCATATAACACTCAGGAAAGAGGAAAAAATATGCCTCCCTACCTGGTCCCAGTTACAGATTGAAGAATGCTTACATATATGAGTGATTTCTTGTTCCATTCCAGACCAGCTGTCATCCATTTTCAATTTACTCCTCCTCAGCAACATCGTCATCCTCAACAGCCTAGTGCCAGTGAGTGCCCGTAATAGGCCTTTCAGCTTGAGTATATTCCCTCAATGTTGTGCTTAAGTGCCTCTAATCTGGAAGCAAAGGATGCTGTTCCCAGCATGGGTGAGCCCTAATTTGGTAGAGTACTGAGGCGTTAAAAATGTACAACAGAAATACAGAGGGCTTTTTGGTTGCTTGATTTCTTTAACAGGTATTTTCTAGGTAGTGAATATTCAGTGGTCTATATATGGTACTAGCACTTCATTTAGTACAGTGATAAAACATTGCTAGGTATGGGATCATTTTGTCAGTATGCAATTAAACCTGTTAAAGTACATATAGAAAGAATATTATTTCTCTATTAATGCAGTTGGTGGTAAGAAATGGATGGGTATTTAAAAGGCTTACTGTGTAGGTGCAGCTGAAATTTGAAGTGTTTAAAGCTCTGAATGTGTCTTTATATTTATGTCCAATTTAGAACTCGTTGTCGAAATTCTGGCCCTGTAGTACTGTCGGAGAAGAGCATTTCCCAGGTGGCAGAAATATTTGTAGCAAGAGGTCGCTGTCAAAATTGTGATAAGCTCTTTGCTGATGAGAACCAGATCAAACAGCATAACCAAACAACTCAGCACAAGGTTAAAATTATTACCACAATCGAAGAGTCTATCTTGATTTTCTGTCATATCAATGGAAGAAAGAAAAATCTGTCTCATATCAGTCAGACAATAAATCGGTCAAAATCATCACTACTTAAGAGACCGTTGACTTTGAGTGAGTCTGCTAATGAAAATAAGTCTGCCATTTCAAAACAGAAGAATAATTTAGAAAACAAAAATCAGGAAGTTGGAGTAAAACTAGGTCAAGACAATACATGCAAAATAAAAGCCTGGTTTTGTGAATGTTTTTTGAAGTTTTCTTCTGAAGAGTCAGTAGAAAAACACATTTTTTCAGCAAATAGAATCTGTTATAAATGTGCGGTTTGTGGGAAGCTTGCTGAAAACTCGAGCATTATCAGTCTCCATATGAGTCGGTTCCACGGAGGGGCACACTTGACTAATTTCCTTTTCTGGTGTCGAGCATGTAATACAGATTTATCAAAAGAAGAGAATGTTATGGCACATGTGACTGAATTTCATGGTGGACATAGTTACTATTTTGAGCAGGAAGAAGCTCTAGAAGATGAATCTATGCTATCTTCTGACACAGTTTGTAGTACCTCAGTTAAATGTGAAGAAACCATTACTATCTCTATGGAGCAGTCCCTTGGGAAAAATCCCATTTTAGGAAAATGGCAGTGCCGCATTTGTGAGGAAATGTTTGATTCTGAAGGTAGTGTTAAAAAGCATTGCATGTCTTTAGAAAGCCATGAATTTCACAGGTATTGCTGTGGATTGTGCAAAAATCACTTTCGTAAAATAGAAACACTATACCGACACTGCCAGACGCACCACAATCAACAAGTACAGGTTAAATATTATTGTGGTATTTGTGGGAATCTCTTTTTTGATGTTGAAGAAGAATTTCTAACACATTATAAGTCTTCCCATAGCATGGATTATATGTTTTTGTCTGACCAAACTGAAGCATCAATAAAAACTGAAGATTTTTTGCCATTAGAAGAAGAAAACTATCTAAGCTGTGGCTGCCGAGAAGATTACATCTCAAAAGCAAATAGAAAGATAGATTATGATATTTGTCTGAAAAACATGCTAAAAAAAGGAAATCTGTGGTTTCGCTGTTGCTTCTGTACAGCAACAGCACAAAATTATGCAGACTTGAATGACCACCTCAGCAGTCACCCAACACAGAAATGCACCCAAGAGATGTATGTTGTGAAGTGTAGTGCATGCAGCAAAAATTTTACTGATCTTAAGAGTGCCCATCAACACTATCATGATAAACATTGCTTCTTGCAGAAGCCTGATACAACACAGTTCAGTTCAAAAAAAGAAAGCAATGTCTTCAAATTCACAGCAAGCGGTGCTTGTGTGAGTAAGAAGCCCGACAAACTGAAGCTTTCTGAAAAGTTTCCGAAAAGATCAATATCTCCCTCTTTAAAAGGACCCATAGATGGAAAGAAAGGAAGAAGTAAGAAAACGCATTCGCCAGAACCTAATGAAGGTAATATGGAAATTCTTTGTTTTTCATACTTTGTAGAAAAATCACTGCTGTAGTTCACTTGTATAGCAGTTGTTTAGTAGAACCTGTATTCTGTCATTAGTATTCTGTATTTTCAGTTCTTATTTTCAAAAAAAATTTGGGGAATTTTTCAGGTTTTATATTCCAAACTTAAAAACCAGGTTGAAATCAGGATAAAAGGAAGAAAAGAAAAAAATATTGGTTTAAATCGGGGAAAATAATAAATTTGGGGGCGCTGAGAGCAAGTTTGCATGTGCACATGTGCCCCATGGGTGGGAAAGTCTGTTGGGGAGAACCCTTCCCCCCAGCTCGGCACTGGCCCCGCACCGCTCAATGGCCCAGAACAGGGGGGCCAGTGCGGAGCCAGCTTTGGTGGGGATGGACCCCTCAGGACCTCCATGCCTGCCCTGCCAGGTGCTGTCTAACCAGGGCAGGGCACAGGGCAGAGCTGCGGCTCGTCTGGGGGCGTGGGGAGGGGCTCGCAGCTCCTGCCACTGCACAGGTCCCACGAGGCACGGGGGGCGTGTGAAAACAGGTGTAAATCAGTAAAAACCAAATAATTTCAGTTAAAAAAAAATCGGGTAATTTATCGGTGAAATTTGGTAAAAACCAAAAATGCAGAAGACTATCTATCATGCACATCTCCAGTTTGCACACAGAAAAAATTGTTCCATTCATAGTTTTAAAGTTGTAATTTTAACTCTAAGAACTAAACTTGAACATTCTTTTTACTCCATCCTCACTACTTTATTGCTTCTAGAAACAAAAGCAAATAGCTGGTATAGGTGTGATACAAGACTTGGCTTTGATGTCCAGATCAATGGAGCAGTGCTGAGTACTTCCAATTTTGTGATCAAGACAGACATAGAAACATACAGAGCTCCAAACAGACTTCTACATGGAGCAGTGTCAGTGCTACATATAAATTCCAAGTGATTAAAATATCGCTAGGGAAATAATTCTGTTTAGTTTGATAGTTGGTAGGGTCAGAAGGGACCTGAGCAGATCATCAAGTCTGACCCCCTGCCATGGCAGGAAAGAGTACTGGGGTCAAACGACCCCGGCAAGGTGTTCACCCAACCTCCTCTTAAAGACCCCCAGGGTAGGAGCCAACACCACTTCTCTTGGAAGTTCATTCCAGATCCTAGCCGCCCTGACTGTGAAGTAGCTCCTCCTGATATCTAGCCCGAGTAATATCAGTAGTAACAGTACTACAATAGTAGTAATAGTACTGACCATAATTCTCACTTACAGTTATTTGGGAGTTTATTTTTGCAAACATGTCTGAAATTTAATGTTCAGTTTAAACAAATTTGGGTACACTCACAGTGTATATTTTATACAGTTGAAGACAGTGAGCTGCCAGATTTTGACTACCTCAAGACCATGACTCACATTGTGTTGGTGGATTTAGACAATTGGGGAAGTTTTTTCACTCGTCTTCCGGCTAGCCTGAACCAAGGGACATTTATCTGGGGATTTCAAGGTAAAGATTATTTCAGGAAATACCAATAAGTGCTTAACAAAAAGGCACAAATGGTCTAGTAGAGCTTTGTAGAACCAAGAAGGGCAAAGAACATGATCCTCTTCATACCCAGAGTTCAGTTGAATAAACCAACCTGGGGCAGGAGCCTATTCTCTGCTGTTTAAAGTTCCTTAAGTCTGTTGTTACAGCACTAATGGTAATTCTAAATCATCCTGCTTGAGTGCTTAATTGGTGGAATAGGATGTAGCCTATGGAGTTAGCAGCAACCTACAAAAAACGTAAAATGATGTATTGCAAATTATTAACATACTCATGCAACTGATAAAGAATACTACTATATATGCTAGCTACAAAATGCCCTCGCATTTTCTTTTAAATTATTGAATAACCCTTTCATAATAGAAGTTTTCACTTCTGTGCATAATAAATAACACATAGCTGTGACCTGGAGAGTAGGAGGGATAATGGGAAGAGAACTGATTTGAGGAATTTCCTTGGTGATTTCTGCATATTTTCTCTGACCAATAAGATACTTTGATTTACAGTATTAGGTGATCACAACTCTTATTGAGGGCTTTTTTCCTTCAGGCTGGCCCTTCTGGAAGCTTCAGTGTTTCGAACTATGGATATTATAAACAGAAACAGGCTGTACACATTTATTTAACTAATTATGCTAATCCCCTCCTCCCACCATTTAAATGGTTTTGTTGAAAATATATTACCCAGTTTTCTTGTGGGAATAACACTGCATGATAGTAACTTCAGATAAGTTGCATTAAGCATTTTTTATTTTGGTGACGCAGTGATTTGAGATAAATTGAAATGGTTCATGTTTATAAATATGATGGCTTGTCCAGGAGTAACCAAGAAATTGATATAAAAACTAACTTGAAAAGTTTTACTGAGGGTCATAGGCAAGTTCTTTTCAGAATTCAGGATACTTCTTTTGTCAATACTTGTATTTAATAATACACCACAATTGGTTAAAAAAAAATGTTAGTTACTTGCTCTTTTTACTGTTGGCTTGTAATGACATGCATCTATTTTTGCTTCACTGTTTAGGAGGATGTAGCAACTGGAAGCCTCCAGATAAGTGCAAAATCTTTGATTATCTTAATAAGATAGGATGTTTCTTCCTTCATCCACGTTGTGGGACCAGAAGAGAAGCCGCAGACTTTGCGCTCTGCATGCAAGTATGTTATAATACTGTGTCTGGTTGCTGGTTATTTTGCTATTTGGAACAAGGTGGGTGGGAGATGATTAGGCCAATTAAATTGAGTTCATTGGTGGAATTTGCAAACGTTTTTGTTCAGTATTAGAAAATATTGAAGCAGTGATAAGAGCAAAGTTTAGCCATTGATAAGTATTTATGAAAATCCCATGCTGACAGTAAGTTTCATACCATTGTTCTTGTCCATGTAAATCATGCTAGTGCTTGCATCAAGATATATTTATTTTTAATGTTGTATATTAAGTTCAGATGTCAACAGTTTCCATGAGTGTGTTCCTTCTATTATGTTAGAAATGCAAATATTAGTGGAGAGTCTTGTTTTGTGCTGAGCAGAGAACTGAATATTCAGAGTGAATGTATTCTCTAGTGACATTTATATGGCTATCTTATTTTTCGTATGGATCTCTGATTATTTAGTAGAATTCGTACTATAACAACAACAAAGCAGAGTCTGGCAATAGAAAAGGAAATTGTTTTAAATGTTACATTTAAAAAGAAATTTTTCTCCAGAAAACTTATTTATATCAAAATACTGTCTGACACCTAAAATGTTTTAATTTCTTCCTTATTCCCATCTAGGCTGGCCGTCTGGATGAACACCTCCCCAAACAAATTCCTTTTACCGTTCTTTCTGGAGACCAAAGTTTTCTAGAACTGGAGAAGCAGTTTAAGCTGACTCATCGATCAGCTCACATTCTAAATCCTCATCACATAGATGGAGACATGATGTGTGCCTTATTAAATAGCATTTCGGATACCACAAAAGGTAGTACATAAAGAATGAGCAGAATCCATCCAGTAAAATAAATGGATACTAACATTGAGAACAACAGCTATGATTTGTTTGTCCTTGGTGCTTTATTACCCAATATTCATATTTCTGACTCCCCTTCCCCCTGCTGTGTTGTTCCTGCCTGCCACTTCTTGTAGAATATAACATTTGGGTTTCCTGGCCTTACTCAGTACACCCTTTGGGTTCAGAATTGCATTCCACACAGTCTTAATAAGCTATACCCATTATTATTTATTGGACTTGCTTGTTAAATTGTGTGCTGAATTTGGGAAAGTAGTATTTTCAACCTGTTTGACTAAAGTGGCTGGTACTCCTTGTTCCCACACTTCTGATATGCTAATCACCAGTAACAGGATTCAAACGGAAATCACCATAACCATTGTTCTCTGAATTTATAGTCTGTGTTGATCTGAATTCCACAGTTTTTTTGGAACCCAAAGTGGCTCTTCCTTTTCCTTGCCCCTGTAGTACAGGGAAGGGTGGTGGCTGTGGGGACACTCACAGGCCTAGCCAGCTGCAGTGGGGGAAGGGGCAAAGCTGCAGCTGGGCAGCTCCTGTTCCAGTGCACAGGGCTCCATCTCCCAACAGCCTTTCACCCACTCAGGCACCTACAGGTGGCTGCTCATCATGCCAGTTTTAATTATCCCATAGAGTCGTTAATAACTGTGCTGGGTTTTTAAGATAACTGCTATAAAATATGTTCATTTATGCATGTATGATACCTTTTGATTATACTGTTTAACTAACTATAGGGGAATATAACAGGAGGCTAAGAATAATAGCATCAATGTGTTTTATAATTCTATAATTCCTTATGAGCTTGTTCTAAGAATAGCTAACAAGGAATATTCCCACATCCAAAATAATGGTATACCATTATTTTCCCACATACTACACACTTTTTTCACAAAAATCAAGCCCCCAAAATTGGGGTGTATGTCTTAAGTGGGGAAGCTGATTTTTCTGCCCAAAATATAAGCACCTCATTTTGATTTCCTGCTTGAAAACCAACTGGCTGGGAGCAGCAGTGGCATTTCTATTCAGACAGCTGAGGGAGCAAAATGAGTGGGTTGTAAAAATGCAGGCTGAATTTTATGTACTACTCTAATATCCAGAAAAAGTCCACTCTTAAACTTTGTGAATTCTAGTATTCACAAAGTTCAGAATGGTTTTTCCACTCTGTGATAATTTTGGATAGAAGTGAGATTGAGATTTAGAGAGGAGAGGAGCAAGTAAAGCTGTGTGGAATTGTGGAGTCTGAGTAACAAGGGTGGCTAAGGAGAAGGACAGTTATAGCTAATAACGGGGCTCAGTGAGAGCTTGGGATGAGTGGCAGATGAACCAAATTAAAAAACAAACTGCAGAGCGGTATCAAATGATTATGGATGGCACGTGTCCAAACAACGCATTTATTTCCTTAGGAATACATGCTTAAACTTGAGTTCTTACATTTCACTGATTTGAGACGATGTTCCTGAATTTCTCAAGCATTAAATATCCTCATCAACCAGTAGTTCTGTTTACAGGGAAGAAGGCATTGATCTCATGAATGCTTTGCATTTGAAAGCCTGTCTAACTTCATTCCAACTATAGTTTCATAGGCAAGCAGGGCTAGAAGGGACCTCACAAGCTTATACATCTATCTGGTACAGCCCCCTGCTCAAGGCTGGAACATCCCTAACTAAACAATCCCAGCCGAGCATTGGTCTAGTCTGCTCTTGAAAATTTCAAGGGATGGAGATTTTTTTTTTTCTAATTAGCCTGTTCCAGTACTTGATCATCCTCATAGTCAGAAAGTTCCTTCTAATCTCCATTCTAAATTTCCTTTGCTGCAGCTTGAAGTCATTGTTCCTGGTCCTGTCCCCTACAGCCCCAGAAAAAAGCCCATTTACATCCTCTTTGTAATAAGCTGTTATCAGTGTCGTCCCGTGTCCGCCCCCCCCCCCCCCCCCCCCCCCCCCCCCCAAAAAAACATCTCAAGTTGTCTTCTCTTTCCCAGGCTAAAAACCCTAGTTCTTTCAGTCTTCCCTTGTAAGTCTTGCTTCCCAGGCCCCTAATCCTTTCTTTGTTCTGCATCAGCCGTGCAACCATAGAAGATGTCACCCACAAAAATTCTTGCCCCCTCTGATGTAGACAGTCTAACATTTCTGTTCCTAATACACCCCTTTTCAGGTGATCTCAGGATTTTCTGTCAATTTTCAGAATGCTATCACGCTTGGGGCCTTTAATCCTTGTTCTAAGTGTGCTCAGGGGGGACGATGGTCTGCGGACAAACATGAACTTATTTGCATAATGAAATGGTAGTAGTGTGTTGTTACCATCTGAGACCAGACAAGTTGGCACTGATTGGAAGCAAGCATCACCCTGGGAGGACTGTGTGGTGGCAGCTTGTGGGGAGACTTGGGTAAAATAAACACATGTAGTTCCCTTTATGGTATAAACTGTCCAGAAAGAGGAAAAGGGGGGAAATGTGGTTCTTGGGGAGACTGTGGAATGTATAGGAGACCCTTAGATTATTTTGTTTCTACAGAAGGGGGAAAATTACTGATTAATCCCTATAGAATACAGGTTTATTTCATATTTTATTGATCCTATCTTGTTGAGGATCAATAAAAGAGATTGGACCTTTTGGTGTTATTTTAAACCTATACTAATATACCCCACCACAGATACTCTTATTCTTGGTATAAAAGTGGCTTTGGGCATAAGAACAGAAACCAGTTAGGCTGAAGTAAAAGGCAGGGCTTGACCTATAGTAGTTGCTCCTCTTTTGAGGGCTTAATTAGTACAGTTTAGTTTTCTTTGACTATGGAATAAGTTCTGGACACATGGGCAGTTCCTGTGGAACACCTGCTGTTCTGTAAAGCTCCACCCTTGTTTAATGCTCTTCTGATCTTAATTTGGTTAATCATAACTCAAAAAACTGCTCTTATTCTAGAATAACTGTTTCACAGAGAGGCTCTGCTGGTACAACTGGCAAAAATTTTCTCAGGTAGGCAAGGCTAAATGTGGCACGTCTTCAAAATCTCAAATTAATCCTGCCCCTCCTTACAATTACTTGATTCTTATTTCAGAATATAATGCTATGCCTTCATATTCAAATGAAAAATAGGAGCATTCACATCATTTCTGATCAGCATTCAGCGATATTTTTCCAGTGGTAGGCCAGAGTGACCCAGCTCAGGGGTGTGGCAGGCTGGTACTAGCACCTGGCTGTTTGTACTGCCACTTCTTCCCTGCTACTTGGCCACACCATGACACAAGCAAAGCCCCCTGAACGGTCAAAGTGGCTGCCCCGTAGAGTCAGCCCATGAACATAAGCTGCTGACCCCGATCATCAGTATAGTGCATCCAGTCACTAAAGCCACAGTATTTTTTGTGAAAAGGTGAGTCTTGGAGTAATCTAAGGGCGAGCTAAGAAAATACAGGAGTTTTGCAGACAGTTGATGTGATCTGTTAACACCTGTTATGATGGCAGTCCCCTCACAGGAAGCTGATGCCTTCATGAGCTATTTGAAGGGGACCACTGAATCAAGTGACCCTACCTGATTACTTTTAAGATACCATTGGCATAGCTTTATGCTGATTAGTTCTACAGATAAGTCACTAGTTTGAAGTCTTCAGCTTCACCTACTCAGGAGGGTCCTCTGTCAGGTTTCCCAAATAACTTCCTCGGAGGATTTTATCAGGAAGACCTTGGCTTGAAATAGGACATATTTGATCTAACTACGTTCTACTTGCCATGAGTCAGTCTTTTCAGAGTCTCAGGGTACCTGTAGTTATGTGGGGAGGCTGCTCTGCACTATAATTACTGATTCTGATTTAACATGTCTCCAGCAGCCTCTGCATCTCATGTATTGACATTCCTGCGCTTCAAAATGAAGGTATGGGCACTTTAAAGCTCGTTCAAGCTTTAGTTAAAGCACCCCCACTGCCATTTGGAAGCCCAGGAATACACGAGATACTATGGGCGATTTTTAATTAGAGTCTCTGAGAGCTGCTCTAATTAAAGCGCCTCCCCTCACCCTTGGAGCACATGTAAAAATGCCATTAGCTATTAGTGCTCATCCCAGGAAATAAAGGGGTGGAGTAATTGGTTCAACTCTTCTGTTTTTTGGGTCCACCCCTGCTGCCTGCAGGGCTCTTCCAGTGCACAGTCTGTACAGCTCTCTCCGCTGCTGCCCTCCGTGGTCCCGTCCCAGCCCAGGCTCTGCTGGCGCTGTTGGGCATGAGTGAGTTGGGAGTAGGGGAGGGGGTTGCAACCTGGATTTAGGGTCGCAGCAAAAAAAGGTTTTGATCTTTATTTAATTCAGCATAATGGCTCCCAGCCTCGGGGAATGACCCAAATCTGGGTTGCAGGGGGTCTACTCCTCCTGCCTGCGGGGCTCTCCAAGTGCACAGTCTGTACAGCTCTATCCACTGCTGCCCCCTGTGATCCTGGCCCAGCCCAGGCTCTGCTGGTGCTGCTGGGCATGAGTGAGTTGGCAGCAGGGGAGGGGGTTGCAACCTGGATTTAGGGTCGCAGCAAAAAAAGGTTGGGAGCCACTGGTTTAGTATAAGACCCCCTTATCCAAGAAGATAATCCCCACAATAGTAATTGCTAACAATATGAAAATAAAACCAAGGAATATGATATAAGGTGTAACTAATGATCTTGATCATTCCTGATTCCTCAGGCTAGTGGCCTGTTTACTGAGATCCTTTTAAAGGAAAAATTGCAGGGGGTGAGGTGTGGGGAATGCACCAAAACCAATGCCCACCAGACACTTGAATATACTGTGGAAATTCTGGAATTGGAGCTTTTGGAATTCCTTACCATCCCCTGATAGCCTTCATTATCCAACAGTCTTGCGGTCATGCTCTTGTCACTGCTGAATGCAATCTACCTGTCACTTACTTTCATGTGAATGGCAGCCGTATCTTTGTGATCTGATGGTTAAGCAGCAGCGTCTCTAAATGTCTTTTAATATTGCAAACAATCATCTGCAACTTAATATGTCTCCTCCTGTGTAAAATTGGACTTCATATCCATGCAGGCAGAACTACATATGATACATTCAAGAGATGATGTTGTCTGGGAGATGATGACAATATTAAGCAGGCCTAAAGACTCTGAAAACTCCTTGGGCATTGTTTTCTGTGAGTCAGCTCCCCCTTACCTGAAAAATACCAGTGATAAGCCAGCCTTAGGAAGTTCTCATCTAGAATAGAAAAAGTGCGTTTAGCTTATGTGAGCTAAATGAATTTAACCTAAAAACAACCACTTTTCCTAGTGTAAGTTCAGGGCAACTTCTCTTTAGCAGGTTGCATTATCATATACTATGATAGGGACCTACTCAAATCATGATTGCACGGTTTTTGCAGAAATTGCAAAATTGGGCAATTATCCACAAAATCTGTGGTTGGGGGGAGAAGAAAAACATAAAACCTGCTAAAAATAAAATCATGGTTTCCCAGTGGGAGCCAGCAGTCCTGACCACGCAGCCTGGCACAAAGGGGGCTGCCCGCATGAAGGTGAGCAAGCAAGATGACTGCTGCCTCCACCCCTTGCTACTGACTGGCTGAGAGGGCTGCCTATCATGCAGCCCCACCCTCTCCTCCAATCTGTGGTGAGAAGCAGGGCGATGTGACAGCCCTCATGCAGTCAGTGGCAAGGAGTGGGCCTGTAAGATGGACAGTCCTCCACCAATCCGAGGTGGGGTCACCAGGGCCCCTTGGTCAGCCAGAGGTGTGTGTGTGGGGGTGGGGGGGTGCTGACATGATGAGTCCTTGAAAATGGTGGTCGGCCCCATGATCTGTCCATAGAATTGATCAGCCACCCCCTCACGTTGGGTCCTGGACATCTTCTAAAATGTAATGTTAGAGTAATGTTAGAGCCCAGGTTTTGAGCAGGTGGAGTTAAGTTCTGGGGCATTGTTTAGAGAATGTATTACACACATCTTTTAACATATGTAACTTTTTATAATTTATTGCAGGGGTTGTGAACCGGGGGTACACGTACCCTCGGGTACTTGAGAAGGCCCCAGGGGGTACGCATGGGCGTGTGGGGACGCAGCACTACCATGCATCATCCCACACTGCTTCCCGGGTGCTGCTCGCCCACTTGGACACGGAGGGGGGGGATGGGGGGGATTGCACGCTGCAGCTGCTGTTGCTCTGCATACGGTTGCATGAACCCCACCCTTCCTCTAGCTCGGCAGCCAGGGGTACACGGCTCTGCGGCTGGCTGCCTGGTGGGGGGCAGTGATCGAAAAAGGTTGAAAACCCCTGATTTATTTCATTTTTAAGCTGTCTTCAACCTTTTATTTTGGGAGGGCAGCATATAAATCTGAACGAATTTTTTTTTCTATGTATTTGTTTCAGACAGTGAAGATGAAGAAAATATTAAAAAGACAGTGCAGATGAGTTTAGAAGAAACAAAGAAACACGAAGGTATGTTTTAATTTTCATTTCACTTATTTCAGAGAGTACCTGTTGATTAGAGAATTAGAAACTGAATTATAAATCATAATTTGTGTCAAACGTCTGTTAAAGAATGCAGTGTCAAATAGTTTAATTACATTTCTTTGGTTCATTGAGCATTTATGAACAATAAGCACCATTGCAAAATAAAGAAAAGTGTGTGCACTAGTCAGAAAAGGATGCCAACTGACTCAACTTTCACTGGCCCTCCCTAGAGGATCGAGGGCCTGATTTTTGGGGATGTCACTTCATACCAGTCTTAATTAGTTTGACTCCATTAACTTCAGTGGCATTATTCTTGAAACGCATGTATTTAATTAGTTCAGAGTTAAACAATAGATCTTGGCTGAGCAATTCTAGCCTGTTTAGAAGTAAGCTGTAAATTTGCATGCAGTTAGCTTAACCTGCCCTTTGTGTATATAGTTATGTCTGGTCAGCAGCTGGTATTAAGTGGAGTACCCCAGGAGATGGTCCTCAGGCCTGTCTTGTTCAATATTTTTATCTATGATTTGGAAGATGGAATGGAGTACACCCTCAGCAAGTTTGCAGATGATACAAAGCTGTGGGGAGCAGTAGATACACTGGAGGGTAGGGATAAGATTCAGAGAGACCTTGACATATTGGAGGATTGGACTGAGAAAAACTCATGAGGTTCAATAAGGACCAGTTCAAAGTCCTACATTTAGGACAGAACAAGCCCATGTACCAGGACAGGGTGGGAACTGACTGGCTAAGCAGCAGCTCCTCAAAGAAGGACCTGGGGGTTACAGTAGACAATAAGCTGACTATGAGCCAACAGTGTGGCCTTATTGTAAAGAAGGCTAACAGTATACTGGGCTGCATTAGTAAGAGCAGTGCCAGCAGGTCCAAGGAAATAATTCTTCCCCTCTATTCAGCACTGGTGAGACCGCATCTGGAGTATTGTCCAGTTTTTGGGCTTCCCGCTACAGAAAGGATATAGACAAATTGGAGAGAGTCTGGTGGAGGGCATTGAAAATGGTTAGGGGTGTGGGGTACCTGACTTATGACAAGAGACTGAGGGAACTGGGCTTATTTAGTCTGGAGACAAAAAGACTGAGGGAGGAGGGATTTAACAGCAGCCTTCAACTACCTGAAGCGGGGTTTCAAAGAGGATGGAGCTAGACTGTTCTCAGTGGTGGCAGATGGAAGAACAAGGAGCAATGGTCTCAAGTTGCAGCAGGGGAATTTTAGGTTGGATAGTAGGAAAAACTTTTTCCCTGGGAGGGTAGCAAAGCACTGGAACAGGTTTCCCAGAGAGGTTGTAGAATCTCCATTCCTGGAAGCTTTGAAGACCCAGGTAGACAAAGCTTTGGCTGGGATGATCTAGTTGGGGATGATCCTGCTTTGAGTAGGGGATTGGACTAGATTGGGGTAGGCAACATTTTTTGGTCAGCGTTCTGAAAACCCCCACAATGCCTACCTTGGAAGGTGCCGGAGTGTACTGGGGCAGCCAGCGCCCCCCAGCCTGGGCTCTGTGGCTGGCAGCAGTTACCCAGAGCCGGGGCTGGCTGCAGCCAGGAGGCTCCAAACAGCTGTTACGGGCTCCAGAGCCCTGGCATCCATTCTGTACCAGCGCATGCACCTGCACGTCGTAACGGACAGTGGGGGAGGGGCCTGAGGCAACACAGCCCCGGTCTCTCCCCCGCTCCTGGCACAGAGGTGATGGTAGGGCTCTGGCGCCCAGTGCAGCTGTTTGTAACAGCTGTTTGTAGCCAGCCTGGGCTCTGGACGGCTGTGCCGGGCTGGCTGCAAACAGCTGCAGCATCAGCTCTGTGCTGGTGGCGACTGCACGTGCACCTTGGGACAGGCTGTGCTGCCCTGCTGTCTGCCCCGAGGTGTACATGCAGTTGTCGCCAGCATGGAGCTGATGCTGGAGCTGTGGAGCCTGGTGAAGCTGTTTGCAGCCTGCCTGCTGCTTGCTACAGCTGCCCAGAGCCCAGGCTGGCTACAAACAGCTGTACTGGGCTCTGGAGCCCAGTCACCAGGTCTGTGCTGGGAGCTGGGGAGAGACCGGGTCTGCGCTGCCTCAGTCCCCTCTTCCACCCATCGCTCCGACGCACGGGTGCATGCGCCGGTACAGAGCTGATGCCTGGGCTCCGGAGCCTGATGCAGCTGTTTGGAACCTTCCGGCTCTGGGTAGCTGCTGCTAGCCATGGAGCCTGGGCTGCTCCCAGCAGGCAGCTGGAATGCTGCAAGCCCTGCTGGGAGCAGCCCAGGCTCCAGCAGCTACCCAGAGCCAGGGCTGGCCGTGGCATGTCGAGCAAAGTGGCCTCACGTGCTGTGCTCGGCACATGTACTGGGGGTTGCCAATCCCTGGACTAGATAATCTCCTGAGGTCTCTTCCAACCCTAATTTTCTATGATTCTGTGTGTAGATCTTGACACCTTACCTTAGTGGAAAGAATGCTGTTTTTTCTATATCACACTTAAAGGTTGGTATTTATCTTGTCCTCTGCTTGCTTACTTTTGTCACTTTTTCTCATGTACTGTGTTGTATTAACAGCTTATATAGGTCTGTAGCAAATAAGAGGATTAAAAGTTTAAAAAAACAAAACAAAACCTAACATCTTTACAATTGAAACTTGAATAAAGAAAGGCATAAGCAAATATAATATACATGTAACTTTTTCAGTTAGATTTTCCATATACTACTAAGCATAGTTTCTAAAGGTCTTGGTAGGTATTCTAGACTGCTTTATGAATATTAGTATTGCTTCTTTAAATATGGCTAGAGTTCAGGAGCTACTTAGATTTAGTTGCAAGAATCAGTGTTCTCATTCTGTGATTTGTTTTTCATTTGCCATGTAATGTATTATGCTGCTACTGATCAGTTTCTCAAAAAGAAACATCCAATTGACAGGAAGGCAGCATATGAAAAACTAAAGGTAGGCTCTTAGGTTAAATAGATTTTCAGCCCCTCCTTAGAGAATGGACAGACAAGTAGATTATACAGTTAGAAGCCCACAGGAAGGGGGTAGGGACACTAACCATCCACAGTCTACTTTTTGGTAGCTCTTTTGTCTCTGCTCCTTTCCCTGCAGTAAATAGACATGAACAGAGGGTCCATTATCCCTAACTTATCCCACAGGAACTTAGTGCTGTTTAAGTGATCCGTTACTGGACTGGCTGACAACTCCTCCTCCCCTTAACTAGGTATAACGCTCATCTCTCCATAACCTTTTTTTTTAAAATTTTTTACAATAAAAAAACTGTTCATGTCTGTGGCACATCATAAATAATATGGTATAGTAAAATCAGTGGACACTTTTAGTAGGTCTAACAGTTCTGCTACTGGCTACAGGTAGAAGTTGAATGGAAATAGAGAAAAAAATCATCTGTGTAGGACTTCATTGAGGAGTCCTAGCTGTGGTAGATTCTTTGTTTTTGGACCTTGCCTCCATGTAGGACCTAAACCAGTTGAATGCATGGTTGATCCTCACTGTTGGCAGTATTAAATGTAGTTGAGCAGGAGCTTGTCCATCAGTACAATTGTAATGGTTTCAATTCCATGTCCTGATCTAAATCCAGATTATACCAGGTCTAGAATAATAACCTGAATTTGGCAAAAAAAAAAAAAATGTTTTAAATGTTTATTGTACTAAATATGATCAACGTTTTCATGGCAATAATTAGATTACCATCATTGTCACAAACTACTCAGCCTTCATTTTAAACTGTCTGTAATTGGGAGCCTGGCTGTGGCCTTCTAAAACAGAGGAGTAATTATATTATTGATTAATTAGCTCAGTACCTGAAGCAGTACTAAACTATGTGAACAAGCACAAGTTCAGTACACTTGTGTGTGTATTTTGTGGTTATGAAAGGAGCTTTAATAGTAGTTTTAGATATGCCATCTTTATCTGCAGAGGCCAGTGCAGTACCAGCTTTTCTGCACTTTACCAACATGTTCTATTTCTGATTTGGATGGAGCACTACAAAAGCTAGAGTTCATTGTTTCTTTCTCTGCTCATTTCTTGGCCCTGCTAATGAAACTAGCAGCAACAGTGTCTGCTATGATTGCACATCTTGTGCTTAGAATACCTATTGACTGGGAAGTGGACTGTTTTACTGAAGCTCTTCTATTTTACACATCTTTTGAGTTTGTTCATTTATTTTTATAGTTGGCTTTTTCTGTTCATTTTTGTTCCTCAATCTAATATTTATAACAAATGCCTCTACTGCATACCTTTAACTAATAGTGTCCTAATGCAAGAATTGGCACATTCCAGTCAATGGTGCTTCGCACACTTTTGAATTCTGAATACATAGTATGAAAATTGCCTTACCTATTGGTGCTACATCCTGTCTTGATAAGGTTGACTGATTGCACACAGCAGTTTTAAAGCAGCAAGTATTTCTTCATTAAGTGATATTGACATAAGTATGTACATAATGAGTTGCCAACCCACAATTTGAAAATCGAATCTTCTTATGCAGAGCAAGATGCAGAATTGCAAGAAGCTATCAAGCGAAGTCTGGAGGACATATAAATGAAGTTACTACTGTGTGCTAGTAGCATGCCATCTAAGCTGTTTATGGAAATGGACGCGTATTCATCCATTTACAAAGGGTCAGGAAATACTGCTTTAATAGCACTTGTATGTTTAGATTTGTAATATAACGTTGCTGTTTGAGTCATGCAATTTAACATCTGGAGTTTATAGATGTATATACTGCAACTTATTATGTGTGATAGAAGAAAATAAATTTTAAAAGCCTTTCATGTTCCTTTTTCTAACGAATGATGACTATGAGGTAATGAATCATGAGTTTCTGCTGACATCATCATAACTTGTAGCCTAAGAAGTAGGCTCTTCTTACCCTACTGGCTCTTGAATTTAATTCTTCTTTTGTAAAATATTATCTTTTTTTTTTTTTTTAAATGTAGTTACTTTTTTTCCCATGTACCTTTACAGGAGATAAAAATGAGTAAGCCTCCATTATTTCAGAGCAGATTACCTTGCCAATCTTTTTTCTAATGAGTTTGGACCCCTCTCCTTCAACTAATAATGCATGGGCAGGCCCCTGTGCCTCTGCAAAACTTTGCAAGATCAGGACATTTAGATAAATAGCTATTTTTATTTTCAATAAATGTGGTATCTTAATTTGTTATGCTAGTTGGGTTAAAATTTAATGTTTCTATCCCTGTCTTGATAAAGGCTGGAGCACAGTTTGTAAATAAAGCAAACTTCCCTTGCAATTACCTCTTAGAGGTACAAGTGAAATAATTTTTGTATTCTACTTTCTCTGTTGCGCACACTTTTTTTTTCTTTATGAAGAGAGCTGATATTTCCATATTTGAATATAATTAAACATTAATTATTTTATGTTTTTACTTTTTTGATGAATTCTGCTCGTTTCTCTGTAATCAAGCTTTTTAACTCCCTCCTTCCCTATTACAAAATACCTATATAGCTCTCTGGTTTTACCCAGTTTTTCTAGCTTATGTGGTCCTGTGTAGGTAAATTGATATGAAACGGTAGTGTAATAAGGTGTGAAGTCACCATTTGACTTGGCATAAGCACACTGTATGCAACTAGTGTAAGTCTAAATATTTCATATACCTCTAAAAGTTAAAAAGGAGCACAGATTTGACTGGATTTAAAACCTTTTCCAAAAGGCAAAATTACTCTGGACTGTGATTGCTTATGCTTAAAGAATCTATAAAATTGTGGTAGACATTTCACTCTTCTCTGGGAAACATGATCCAAAATATCCCTAGAGCAAATGCTTAACCTCAAGCAAGCCATCTATTACACCTAGTGAAGGATCTCTGATCTATTTGACAATATTGCAGATAGTTGAAAGATGAAACTGGTTTAAACCCAAAAACAGTTTGGAAAGAGCTTTTATTGCAGTATTAAAACAAAAAAAAACATCCTGAAAGTTAGAGTACTGGAAGTAGAACAGGGTCATAGAGCCCGATGACGTTGCAACTCTTAATCTTTGTCAGGAGATAGTGATCAGATTTGTTTTATTCTGCACATTTATATCTGCTTCTGCAGCTCCCAGTTAAGGAAAGCATTACTTAAGAGGATTGGGAGGTGGGTCTCGCCACCACTATGCAGCCACCTCAGTATCAAAGTTAGAAGAACAAACTGACTAGACAAATTCATATAAAAATGTAAAGGTTGGCTAGGGAAGGGCTTTGTTACAAACTTTTTAAAATTTTAGGGCTTTAAGTTGCACTTCCAGTATTACCACTGTGTCTGTTATGGAAGCTTGTTTCAGTGAGTTGGGTCCTTTTCTGTGCTTACAATGGCAGTGTCCAGACAAGCATAGCTGCGCAGTTTGTGTTGCAGCAAACGTGTGTGTGGTGCCACATGCAAGTTGAGCTGTTCTCTGAGCTCGGGTGTGCTCCCACAGGCCTCCCAGCAGGCAGCTGGAGAATGGTGAGCCCAGCCAAGCAGCCACCACCTCTGGCCAGTGTGGCCCCTCTACCCAGCCGCCTACTAGTGCCCTCTCCCCCCAACAACTGGGCAGGGAGGGTGTTTGGTGGAAGCTTCCCCACCTGCCCTGCTGCCTGGCCCAGCTGGGGTATCGAAATACAAGCCAGAAAAAAAACATGCTAACAATCTTCAAACCCTGAATACTCCAGCCACACGTTCTACAATATTCATAAATAAAACCTTTCTTCAAATCTTACAGTCACTGCATAGGGTTTGTAACATCAAGCCATGCAAGCAGCCTTTTTATTAGACATCATTCTTGCAAGGTTATGTTAAAATTAATTTCTCAAGCATTCAGAATATTTGCAGTATATCTTGATTGCTGTTTAATATGCCTATTTTGAAAGGGAAAAAAACAACACTTCCGCCTTGATTTTCATCGTATTCTTTTGCCTGTTGCTTCAGTGTTTTGTTACCTTCAAATATAACTGGTACGTAAAACATAAAGAAATACTAGTAATCTGAGTTTTTTCAGAATTAAAATGGCAAATTTGCATTTCCACAAGTACATATTAATTTAGATCTCTGACTTTAAAATCCTTGTCACCCATTCTTTACCTTCTTGGTTCTTGATACTCATTTGGGCTGCATTCTGCTGGGGTTGTATGTAATTGCTCCCTCTGCCAATTTCAAAGAGAAGACAAGATGCCAAATAAGCTAGAGTAAGATCCTTGCTTAGCTGTCTTCATAAGTAATAAATCCATAGAGGGGAGAGGAGAATAGGGTTAGTTTTAATTGAACTGTCACATATATAGCAACATATATTAAGTAATAAACAGAGTTAATTCTCTTAAATGCACAGAGCTTAACGTTACAGAATTTTACAGAAGTCACATAATTTCAGAGTCTTAAGGGAAACCCATGATTAATCTTTATGGTAAATACTGTGCGTCATGCAGGCCATAGTAATCTTTACCAAATATGGTTAAGTTTATAGAACCATGAAGTCGCAACATTTTCTTTCATAGAAGGAAAGTTTCCCTGCTATTCTCTCTCATTCTTAGAAACAGCAACAATAATAATTTCAGGTGTGGGGACAGAGAGTTGTAACACTATTTTTCTACAATAACTCTTTGGATGGAAAAGCGCAATATCTTAACTATTTGGGCCCTTTACAAGGAGAGAACTACATGCTGGTCCCTGCATGGCTGCTCTTCTTCCCCCCCCCTTTTCTCCTGACACTATCTGACCTTTGTGCAAGGAGGTAAACACAGTAATAAATGTTTTTTTTTCAAATGGGATACCACTCAACTCACAAAAGTTATGGAGCAGAGTCTTTAGTTGATAAAGCTTAAGAACCACTGAACTGGACAAAGAAATAGAATTATTACAGAATAAATTACCACATTTTTCTTATATACAGCTGCTGGAAATTGAGGTGCATGTTTTAAGTGAGGAAATATAGTAATAGCAGCTTCTGCTGCATAAGCCTCTGCTGTAGGAAAAAGGAAAGTAAGGCTGCACAGCAGGTGCTGCCAGCTAGGATCAGGACCTCAGCCTACCTAGCAGGCACTGCTGCTGTGCCCCCAGCTCAACCAGCAGCCAGAAGTGACATGGAGGGAGATGGAGGGATTGGGGGCAGCCTGAGGCTGGGGTGGGTGGGGGAAAGCATAATAGGAGGTAAGCATAGGTGGGGAGAGAGGTGGCAGGGAGCAAGCTGCCTTCCTCTTCCACTGCCTGCCCCATTACTACCCCTTTACCACCTTTCCCCACACCACCTGCAGTAGTGGGGGGAGATTAATTTAAGATGGTCCTCCAATAATTCAATTCCACACCTGGATAATTATAATAAATGTATACATTTTCTGTGTGTAGAATCTAATTATTGGGGGGGGGTCATTTTATATCAAGGGATGTCTTGTGTTCAGGTAAATATGGTAATAAAGCATTTTACAGGATACGTTTTTTTACATTGTTTAATTCTTTACTCTTTATACACTATCCATTTAGAATAAACTATAGCCTGGATGGAATAAATGCATCTCAAAAAGAATACACACTGGCAGATCCAGACTAAATGTGTCTGCTATCTCATTTCTGGGGATACAAGGTACCTGTTCTTCATGACTAAACAAAATAGAGCAAGTGCTACAAGGAAATTTGTTGCACAATCTGACAGGGCAGCCATGCAGAGAAGAAGGGCATTATAGTAAACTAGGCCAAGGCTGGCTGAGTGGTTTGGTTTTAAATCAAAAGCATTTGGGAAATGATGTCATTTTTAATGGACAAGCCTGAGAGAACACTTTGATTCATACTACTGTGAGCATGCATTAAGCATGGGCAACATCAGTTTCCCTGACTGAAAAGCAAAAGTTGGTTGGTAAAGTGTGGCCAACCTTTTTGGGAAGTGTGCTGGAAGTTAGGTCCAAAGTAGTGCTACTGTGATTATCAGCCACTGCTGTCATCCAGTGCCATCATTTGTCACCAGGATGTGGCAACACTGAATCAGGTGAGCCCAAACCCTTGAGCCAGCATTGGTCCCAGATTGCCACTCCAATCCCTTTCCCTTTCCAGAGTACTGCTCCAACTCAGTGCCCAGGGCGTGTGCGCCAAACATAATGACTGCTAATGCCATAGGTTGGCCACCAGTGGGGTGGACAAAGTAGTATCCTTCCAAAGAAATTGGGGTTTTCAAACTCCTGTCATCTCTGATCTGAAATGGATACAAAGGAATGGCAACTGGGCCCTGTATGTGACTTATTAGAACCATGTGTAATAGTGAGGTCAGAGGAGACTTACCTGTATACGGTTGCTTCTTAAGTCAATAATTGTGTCTTACAAATAGCACGCTCTTCTTAGATACTAGTAGGCGCTCCCTGACTCCTCCTTATTTCTGTTATAATAATCCTATAAGTGGAGGCAAGGTAGGGCTGTGTGGTGTCTTACACCAGTGGGCATGTCTCCATGTGGGCTTTAATGCAAATTAGCCTCTCCTAATGCACATTAAAGCTCACAAAAAGTGCTCTTTAGCTAATGCACATTAAAATAGACTTAATGTGTATTACCTAAAGCAGTGTTTCTCAACCTGTGGGTCATGACCCAAAAGTGGGTTGCAAGAATATATGAAAAGGGCACAAACAAACTTTAAAAATTGATTCTCCTTTAAAGGAGAAAAATGTGGGAAATGGTGCTTTTCCCTTGCAGGCTGGTGGAGCTCCTGTCTGCAAGGGGCTACGTAGGGCTCCCCAGGCCAAACACCCCCTGACACTGGGGGGCTGGGGCCTGGAGGCACCAGGTCAGGACTGGCCACTGATGTTTACAAATGAGTC